AAAGTTTAAAACGCAGACACGCATTTAACAGGAACTATAAAAAGGGAACTCAACCTGGAGTTCTGGTGCAATAGAAGCAACTTCAAGACAATCAAGTTGACTGTAATTTTTATTTTTATTTTTTTATTTTTTTATTTTGTGGGATACACGAGGGAAACCTTGGCAAGGCACAAGGATCCCTAGGCCGAGGCCCGAGCTCCACCACTGACCCGTACCAAGTAAAACCCTTGGTGTGTGTGTCCCACCTTCCATTTCCACACTACAGGTTAGGCATCTCTTTACTAAATCTTTGGCACCTTCAGAGATGCTAGGCCATGGATCTGTCTCAAAGTCGAGCTTCCCATGTAAAACCTGTTCGAATATAGCTTGCTCGGTTTCTGAAATTTATGCAAAAAAGAAAACATAACTTCAATTGAAGAAAAGGTATTTTCACTTAAACACCCAAAGTTTACTCTATTTTTTATTTAGATAACCCAAAGTGCTTTTTTGCCCAAAAAATACAGCAAAGTTTTAACTTTGATAAGCCAAAGTTTTCTTTTGCCCAAAGAGTACCCCAAAGTTCAACAAAACTTAACTTTCAAACCCTAAACTTTAACAAAAATTTAACTTTGATACCCAAACTTCAACAAAAAAAAAGCTTGGGTATCAAATTTAACCTTTTCTTTTATTAACTTTGGGTTATTAAAGTTAAAATTTGTTGAACTTTTGGGGTATTTTTTTGGGCAAAAAGACAACTTTGAGGTATCAAAGTTAAAAGAAATTTTGACCTTTGGGGTTTCAAAGTCAAATAACTCATTAAAGAAATAAAGTGCAACATTAACAAAGTTAAACATGAGCAAAAGCTGGACTACAGACCTCCCCAAAATGGGGGCACCCCACTAAGAAGGATGTAGATAATCACACCAGCGCTCCACACGTCAGCTTCGGGACCATAATGTTTCCTCAAAACTTCGGGTGCAACATAATAGGGGCTACCAACAACGTCCGTAAATTTATCTCCTGAAACAATAGAGCTGTCAATACAAGATCAGACATATATAGAAAATGCAGTATCATACTTTGCATCATATAGAATAGAAATCACCATTTCAATGTAAATGCATCTAGTTTTATAAGCATACAAGCCCATATATGCATATATGCACATATTTCACTTTCGAGAATGTTATGATGTTGGACAATGAGAGTAAATTTGGTAATAACAAGAAATGATGGATCATGGTATCTCCTTGATGAAATTATTGTTTGGCAGTTGTGGAATTAATAAGTGGTTGATTCCCTGAAACTGATGTGTCGATGTGATCAAAAGGACGCTAAGTTGAAAAAAAAGGAAAAATAAGAAAAGGAAAAAAAACTGATGTGTCATACAAATGTGTGTTTTTGTGTCATGTCTATATAGGGTGTGCATGCATGCTTTTTTGTCTATATATTGACAATATGTGCCTGAGTTTTGATTCTTTTGAAAATGAAATGATTTCACAATTTCCTTTACGAGCCTTGTAATTAAAGCCTGAATAGGGGAAGATTTCGAATTTTCTGAAATGCAAGATTGAATCAAGTGTTGATGATTCCCGATACTAGCACTTTATGTATCCTTTATGTTTGTTAATAATTGCTACGAAGTAGTACACGCTGTTGTAAAGTATAATGCAAGCTAGTGGCAGTTCACTAGAAAACTTGATGATAATAAGGTAGTATGAAGATGTTAAGCTCCCAACACCATTAGCAAGAGATCGACTTGACAAATCAGAATACAAGAAACATAACCAGCCTTCACTAGGAACAATATCAACCATACAAACACAAAACTAGCTCCGTGGATGTTTCCATCATATCCTTCCATAATTTTCAAAGGAAGCTCACTGAAGTGAGAATCCAATATTTATTCCAGGATGAGACACTAAATTAAGATTCTGATATTTTAACAATATCAATCTCTTATTGTTAGTAATAAAAAGGAAATGGTTATACGATACAATTGGATATTGACCTATGTATTTGTCTCCTGGTTTTTCTACCTGACATCTAGTTCACAGAACGTGAGGACAATACAAGGTTACAAGAGGTTATCCAGGATGATCTTGAATGTCTTTTTCCCCCTTTTAAATATGTGGGAAGCCAAGTACTTTTCTTGATTTAAATTTCATGAAAGGCTATGGCTCACACAATAATCCCTCCCATACACTAGCTTTGAATGGGACCTACAATTCTCAGGGGATCTTATTTTGCTATACTAAATTTCGATTAATCTTTTAGGTGTCGTGGATGCTACCACTAACAGTGTCCCAAATGTACAATTTTTTCACTGATCGTCTATATAAAACTTCAACCATAAAACCTCCATTATTGAGCGTCAAAAGATGTAACGAGAAAGCATCCCTTGGTAAGAAATTTCCATTTGTGACATGTACATTGTAAGTAAACCCACCTGCTTGCCATCTTATTCTCCATAGTTTCCTTACTAGTTGAAATCCCACTGCATATCCATCATGTGGATCCTAACTCCACCAACAAATAAGCTATTTGAATAACCATAATCCATATCCCATACCATCCATGTCCAAATGTCATTACTTTCCAATTTGAATTGGGGACCATTTACTAGCAAGTTTAAACATCTAAGACATGTAACATTATACAACAGCTAACAATGGAATCTGAGAACATCTTTTTCCTTCGAAAATACTTTGACAGTTCACTATACTATATTACATTGGCCGTCATAAGTATTGTCATGTATTAATACAAAGTAAACAAGGATCAATTAATTAACTCCTCACAAAAAAAAGCATGATACAACTTTTAGTCCTAGATTAATGAATATTCAATATCTGGATGTCTCGAGTATCAACCATTATTAGAGAAAGACCACCTAGATCAATTCTCTTCTAAACTCAGTCTAAACTTCTCGACGAACAAGAATCACATTCTCCTTACTCAAACTAAATAAATCATCCACTTCATAACGGTGCTCTTAGTTCTCTCCTTTTATATCCGTTTATTTGTATAATGTCTATCGAGGCTATTTGATTCATAAAATATTAAAAATATAATTATCATCACAATTTACAAAGTTGGTCTCTGCCAAAATTCTTGCAATCAATTTGATTGTAATTTTCTTTTGTAAAAGATGATCCTCTTTTCTACCATACTCACAAATTGCAATGAACAAACAGTTGAACACAAAACTATAATGATCAACCCTCATCATAACTTCC